GAACCAATTTTACACCCGAAACGTCGATACCGATATTTTATTTAAGATTACTGATCGAGTTACACGCGGTTTTACATAAAACACACTTTGATCAGAAGAGGGGTGTGTCAGACCAAATGGAGAAAGTTGAAATCAGAGCCGTCATTAAGTACTTCTGTAAGAAACGGAAGGGAAATCCATGAAGACTTCATGTATACACTTGGGAAGGAGTCCCCTTCCTATAGCACTGTGAAAAAATGGGCTGCTGAATTTAAGAGGGGCAGGGAGAGTATTGGAGATGATAAGGGGCCTGGCGGCCAAAAGAAGCAACCAACGATGAAACTGCCGAAGCTGTGCACGATCTGGTCATGTGCGACAGAAGGCGAGATCTGCGAAGCATTGCTTGGGAAGTGGGTATAATCTTTGGTTTAGTTCAGGCAATTCTGACTGATGTCTATTGCATGTCAAAGGTTTTCGCTAGATGGGTCCCGAGACAGTTGACTGACGACCAGAAACGGACCAAGGTTGAAATTTCAAGATATCTTTTGTCTTGCAACGAGAATTAACCTGATTTTATGTACCGGATCGTAACTCAGGATGAAACAAGGGTACATCACTTCAATCCAGAATCCAAAAAAAACAGATCATGCAGTGGAAGTATCCTGGCTCACCCCCTCCGATGAAATTCAAGAGGGTGCCACCAGCAGGGAAGATAATGGCTTCAATTTTTTGGGATAGTCAGGGGATAATCAAGATTGACTATCTTGAGCAAGGCCGTACCATAAACGGTACGTACTATGCAGACAAATTCCGACGTCTGCGTCAAGAAATCGTGCTTGGTGGTCTACTCTTAAGTATTTTATTTCACCAAATACAGACAAAACTATATCTCCTTTAAAAAGTCCATATACTGACAATCTTATACACGATTCCTTCGAAAAAGCTGAACTGCTGAATAACTATTTTTGTAGCCAAACTTTACTGAATGATAGTGGTAAGCAAGTCCCGCAAGCAACTCCTCCAACTGACACTAATCTCCTTACATCTCTGGTTCTTAGTCCTCAAGAAATAGAAGACGCATTAAATAATCTCTCTACAGGAAAAGCATCGGGCCCAGATGGAATAAACAACCGTATTCTCAAAGAATCATCAGCTGAATTATCAATCCCTCTATGTTCCCTTTTTAATCACTCTCTTCGTTCATGTATAGTCCCTGAAACTTGGAAAGACGCAAATGTCTGTGCTATTTACAAAAAGGGTGACACTTGTCTCCCTTCTAACTATAGACCTATTTCATTACTCAGTTGCATTGAAAAGGTTTTCGAAAGAGTTATCTTCAAACACATCTATAATCATTTAAATGCTATCCGCTTTTTGTCCCCTTTTCAGTCTGGATTTAGACCAGGTGACTCCACAGTTAATCAGTTAACACTTTTATATGATACATTTTGTAAAGCGCTCGATAATGGTTTAGAAGTGAGAACGGTTTTCTTTGACATAAGTAAGGCATTCGATAAGGTGTGGCACAAAGGCCTGTTGGTCAAATTAAAAAATGCTGGTATTTCGGGTAAATTATTAGACTGGTTTTCTAATTATCTCTCCGGAAGACGACAACGCGTTGTGCTACCTGGTACTCAATCTACATGGGATGCAGTAAATGCTGGAGTTCCCCAGGACTCAATTTAAGGACCCCTATTGTTTCTTAATTTTATAAATGATATTGTCGTTGACATTGGAAGTCATATCCGTCTTTTTGCTGACGATACCAGTTTATATATTGTTGTTGAAAACCCAAATGCTGCTGCAGAACTCCTCCAATCTGATATCCTAAAAATAACAGAATGGGCCGATACGTGGTTAGTTAACTTTAATCCTGCAAAGTCCGATTGCCTATTGCTAAGTAGAAAAATGCATCAGCAAAACCACCAATCTCTAAACATGCATGGCCAAATTATACCGGAAGTAGAACACCACAAACATCTGGGTATCATTCTTTCAAATGACTGCTCATGGCATGAACACATTAACTATATAGTAAATAAAGCATGGAAACGGGTTCACATTATGCGTAGACTGAAATTTACTCTTGATAGGAAATCTCTTGAAGTAATATACACCTCTTTCATCCGACCAATTCTAGAATATGCTGATGTTATATGGAATAATTGCTCTATGGCGGAAAAGGATATGCTTGACAAGATCCAAAACGAATGTGCTCGTATTGTATCGGGAGCAACCAAACTGGTCTCTCTCGATAAACTTCAACAGGAAGTGAATTGGTCATCCCTAGAAGAGAGACGACGCGTTCACAGGCTTATAATGTTCTATAAGATGATAAATGGTCTTGAACCAGAATATCTAACAAATCTCGTTCCCCCAAATATTGGATCAACGTCTTCGTACAACCTTCGAAACCCAGATCAGTTGAGACCTGTACATTCCCGAACTAACCAATATTACAATTCTTTTTTACCCGTGACAGTTCGCGATTGGAATAACCTATCAAACAGATGTAAGAAATTCACCCACTTTAAAAGTTTTTAAAAGTAAAGTTATGCCAGTCCGTGATAGTACGCCCGCTTATTTTTACAGCGGATCACGAATGGCACAGGTCTTACATGCTAGGCTTCGCATGAATTGTAGCAAACTAAATCATCACCTTTTCACTCGTAATATAGTCCAATCTCCCCTTTGCCATTGTGGACAACCTGAAAACAACTATCACTATCTTCTCGAATGCCACTTTTATAGTTGCCACCGTACATGCCTTCTTACAAAAGTGCGTCAAATCACTCAAAATGTCTCTCTTCATACTCTTCTGTTTGGGGATGTTTCTCTTTCTCAATCAGACAATACGGAGTTATTTCTGGCCGTCCAAAAATACATAATGGATAGTGGGAGGTTTGCATGACGAGTAAATGTTGCAAAGTACTGTCTACGACTTAACAATTACACTGGTAAACACTTAAAAAATAATCATAGTCTTTATACTGTCCGTGTGCTAAAAAATCATTTGTCTCTTCATCTCTAAACGTTGGTTTTCATCTTAATATTCCTTCTTCTTTTTCTCTTTCTTTATTTTTTTTTCTATTAATATATTATATTAAAATATCTATCAATTACAAATAATGCAAGAGCCTTACCACATAACCTAGTTTTGTGTATTTTTTTTCAAAAATATTTTGTATACAATCAATAGAAGCGGTTGTGGTACACATTTTTATATGCTCTTTACTTGCTCATAGATCTACCAGCCATGTATTAGTTTTATTGTAATTTATCAATAATGGAGATTGACTTTAATAAGCACCTAGTGCTTCCGTCAAAATCCTTTGCGTGTATTATGTTAGTTATGGTTATGAAACTGAATGTATGTATAATGTATGATTAAAATATATGCAATAAATATGTTTAAACCGTGAAAGGAGGGGCAAACTGACTCAAGGCGTTCTGCTCCTGTACGACAATGAGCCAGCTCACACATCCCAAGTTGCGATGACTGCTGAAACTGACAGTGGCTTGGAAATTCTTCCCCATCCCCCATATTCTCCGGACTTAGTCCCCTCTGACTTCTACCTGTTTCCGAAACTGAAAACCAAGCTTCGTGGTAGACGTTTTGGAAGCAGTGAAGGTGTCATAGAGGCGGTCAATGAGTTCTTTGAGGACAAAAATAGAGAGTTCTGTTTTGAAGGGTTAAACAAGTTGGAGCACAGGTGGGCAAAGTGCATTGGTGTAGAGGGCGATTATATTGAAAAGAAAGACCATTAGTTGGGTTCGCTGACTACCGGAAGTACATCGGGCAAGGAACTTTTTGATCGATCCTCGCACTCATAGAAAAGAGATTTTTAGATCCTATTTTATGATATAAACAATGCTTAAACTAGGATAACTTGTTTGATAAATACAATAACTGTATTGATATTTTTTATATGTCTCTAAATCAATTCCGAGCTTCAGTCCCTTTGTCATAATTTGATTATTACATAGGTATCTAATAAAGTTAAGTGAGATCAGTCTTACCAAATGAATCCCAATCCTCTACATATGGTGACAATACCTTTTTCTCCTGACGATGTATCAAAACCTTTCAGAAGAGAAACGCATATAATAATTATTAAATTATTATCTTTTATGACAAAACAATTTCATGATTGATGATCAGAATCATTATAATAGTTAACAAAGTTAGTAATACATGAAAAAAAGAGAATGTGGAAATATTTTATATTATTATACAATGTAATAGAGAATTTTCTTAAGACTTATAACAATACAGAGCCATTGAAGTACTGCTTTGAAATATACATAGTACTATTTTTGTGGGTATAATAGTGTCCAAGGATACAAAGTTTTCTTGAGTCAATATTCAACATATTAAGCTGTTTATTTTAAAATAAGTGAAATTCGTCGTCAATATCGTTTAAGCAACAAAGTGTTAGTATTCGTTCATCACGGGGCGAGCGAATTCGATGTAAGGCTTATATGTGAAGTAAGATGTAATTTTGCCGGTGTATTTCCATATTAACTTGGCGAAATCATGGAAATGAATATATTCCATTTGTACGAATCAAAACCATGGCGTAATATACACAATCTGATTAAAATCAGCTTCTAATTAACTCAAAGCAGGAAATAAACTTGAGGAGATCTGAACTTTAATAGTCAAATACACACAACTTAATATCTATAATTCCACTTTCATTATTTAACGTTAAATGCTATTATATATTTTAATAACAGAACTATAGAGTATTGAAAGAACGGTTTGGAAACTAGTATTCAGACTATGTATAGATATTGCAGACAGTTGTGTGTTCATGTACATGTACTATTTATAAAAATAAAGTAAATTAGCAAAAAGTTATGCACCCATCTTCAGAAATAGATACGAGTCAATGTTATACTTTTTGTATGAGGTACGTAGGCTTGATACTTTGTACAACTGAAATAAGATATCTAGTAAAACATTCGTTATTATTCATTCTCTTCTTTCACAACAATTTCACTGCATCGTCTGGGAAAATAGTATCGTATATCACGACATTTGTCCAAATGATTGTTGTTGTTTATGTGCAGTACTATGTTTATGCCCCTTTGTTGTACTTAACATACGAACAAACCAATGACAGAACTAAGCAAACAAATAAGTAAGAAAGTGGGGAAATGTAATTTGGTTAATAAATATACCTGACAAATAATTTCAAACGCAGGTTCGTTTTGTTCTGCTATTCTTTGGAACATGTTCAAAGATTCTGAACGTGCTCTGTACGCTGTTGTCATACGTGTAAAAGTTTCCTCATCTATCATGTCGAGTGATCTGAATATCCCACTACAATAAATAAATATGTACATATACATATGAACAAGAAGTATCTTTTAAAAAGATTACTCTGCCGAGGTAAATATGCTTTTACTTGCAAAAATCATTTCGGACATTTATATTCATAAAGAATTGCTAGCAGTGCGTGATTAATGATATAATATGCGTGATTAATGATATGATAATGACAGTTAAATTTTTACTTGTTGTGACTGCAAACAGTTTTGTAGGACTCTCAGTAGGGTTAGCCATATTGTACGATCGTAAGTCCCAGGATTAAAAATTAGACAAGTAAACCATTTCAGAAATGAACGACCAATGAGATTCCCGCATTTTAGAATGACCAATGAAAAGCCTCCTAGCTGATATCAAGTTCTTTTAAATATTACAGGAAGTAAAAAGGAAAAAGAAAAAAAAAGAAAACACAAAAAACCACGAACCAGCATTGTTTAATAACTTCCCGGTTACATTTGCTGCATATCGTGGATTTGAATGAATTCAGAACGTTCAATAATGTACTTGGTACTTCTATTTCCAGAACTTGTATATCTGAAACATAGGAGATATATGCAAATTACGATTACAGCTAAATGTTTTGATACTTCTAAATAATCTTGTTTCTTAGAAAAATTGATAACTACTTATGTTTACATGTATTTATCTGTTATGTTTACATGTATTTATCTGTTATGTTTACATGTATTTATCTGGAATTGATTTGTGATCAAATACTGTCGTTGTGTAAAGAAACACCGAGTAATGTCATAATATTGAAAATGTTCGATACATGGTAATAAAGGTTTCTTTTAAATTTTTAAACGGAATTCGAATTATTGAAACAAAGTGGAATTCGTCCTCTTCATCATTTGAGATGCAAAGTACACATTAACGATGACGTCTTTCAGAATTATGAGGACGATAGATTTTTATATTGAGATTTTCCCTAAACCAATCGCCAGGAATTTCTTACATAGTAAGGTATTCAGTGGTTCATTGGTTTGTTTCAATTAAAACACCATCACCCTGTATGTAAAGTAATAGGTTCAATACCTTTAAAGATACTCAAATACATTCCAATTTGACCTTCTGCTTTTGGTTTTCTTTGGTCCTCAATGTCATGTTGATATATAGGATAAAACGTCCTCACTGGCGACATGTACATTGTAATAAATCTTATACAGCGTCCCGTTTGTTCTTCATAGCTGAATAATGGTTGATAATATACCCAATGCAGAACGATTTCATTTGTATCTAAGATATAAATCGGAGTATTTGTACAGGTAGCTACTGCATAAAGAAGTAGTTTTATATAAACCTGGTAGTTAGATCCGCTCTTGCAATCTACAATAAACATCTCATACACTTGCTTTTTATTTGTATCACTGTCCTGTATATGAACATTGTCTACTAGCATATCTGAGACTGGCTGGAATTGTTCTGAATGTTTCTCCAGCAGTTCCACAACAGTGTTCTTTAAATAATCTGAATTTGTAAGATGGCTTATACAATGTTCCCCACAAGGATTTTTAATTGTATGTCCCGGTGTCCTGTCGGTTATGTCTTGAATACAATTTGAAATACACTGAAACAGCTGCAATTCGTTGGTTTGCACAACACGGTTTTCAGCTTCTGTCCTAAGAAATTCCGTAATAACTTGTAGTTGAGGAAAGTCTCCATCATCCATTTGATCCATCATATATAAAAAAATTCAATCCCCGATTGTAACTTATCAACTTAATCAACAACTGCAAGCATTTCATCTATATAATACTAAAGGCTGATATTTATGCTAAAAACAACAAACACACACTAAAAAAGCTTTAAACATGATATATTAATAGCAACTGAATACATTAAAGTATAGGTGAATACGCAAATTAATGACACATGATATTAAGATTTAATCATCATTGCGTGTCATACGAAATACATTTCAAAATAAATTTCTTCTACACTTCACTGTAAAATATACCGTGTTTACAAGTTTCATAGAGTGACATTATGCTCATCCATGGGTAGATATAGAGTGAACAGCTGGGTGAAAGTCAAAATAAGTTAACATTTTCTCATAATTCCTTTCAATTTTGTAATTTACTTCACATGAACGATAAATAACTCACTAGGTCCAGTGAAATGTATGTAATTATCTGTCGGAATGTATCTGTAACTTTCAATTTATAAAAAGAATGGGACAGTCTTTTTATATATTTAGGTAGATTTCTTTTTACCCTAAACATTTTCAAATATCATTTGTTGGTCAATCACCATTATAACGACCAGTTTATTGAAATATATAGTCAATTAAAGTCAATTAGACAATGAAAAATGAGCATAATGTCACTATAAGTAAAAATCACAGGGACGAATAGCCGACATTGTTATCTTTAAATAGTTACATTTTTATTATCTTAAATAACAATGTGATAGTGGATACAATTAATTGTTATCGATCAAAATGCTTTTCATAGATTAGTTACCTGTCTAATTACCAGCTAAGTGATTACAATAAGATTTTCACCACAATATATTTGCCAACTTGAGGACAGGGACGTAATTTCAAGCCTCATTATTTAAGAAATAACATAGACTTCTCTGAAAGTTCAATGCCCAGAGCTTAGATATTATGCATGAAAAGTAACCTAGTGGTTTTTACATAAGTTGTATAAATCATGCCTTTTGGGTCAAAACTTGCCCATCCTGGAGGGGGTGGAGTCACTTAGTTTTTATAGAATTAAATAGTAAAACAATCAATTAAAGAAGTTATTTTGTGTGTAATTACAATGCCATGAGCTTATGCATTTGCTTAAGCATTTCAAAGCAGACATCTACCAATATTCTAAAAAATTTGTTGCCTGGAGAAAAAACAAACAAATCCTGATTGTGACTTAATTATTGGCTTTACCCTTTTCTAGCGTGCACCTCAGATGAGTGATCAAGAGACATCATGGCCCTCTTGTTTGAAAGAAAACTTAATGATTGTTGATTCCTACATTATTCATGCTCTTATTTTACTATCAAGCACTGTGAATAGTTGAGCACCCTGTCCTATTGATGGCTCTTGTTATTAAGTACATGTCTGACTATTTTAGTTAATAGTTATTGTCTGTTATCTCACAAAATGAAGAATTTGGCTATTTTCATTGAAGCATGCTAATTACATAAATTTGGCTATTTTATATAGAGCATCCTGCACTGTTAAGAAGAGCAGAGAATGAGAGTGCAGCTGTCATAGCAAGGCGATATGCAGAGCATTTATTGAGACCGCTTCTTGACGAGATGACTTATTTAATTGGTACATACCCAGAAGCAAGGCTTGTAAAATGTTGTGACGTTGAACACCCTTTGTCTGGCCATTGTGGAGATACTTCCTTTGGTAAGATTTAGAAATTGTTAATGCTCCCTTTCTTAGAAGCCAAAGTATTCTTTTTATATACTAATTTGAAAAATGGGAAAACCAGTTACAATCTGGCAGGAGGTATCCACTTTGTTCAAAGCATATCTTCTACATGTTTTCAAAGTCAATGTGTATAAGCAGTTGAATAGCACAATTGATATGGTATTCTGAGGGTTCTGGGTTGGAATCTCGGACAGACTGCAAATTTTTCTCACCCTATGACACATGTATATGGGGATTTTAGAATTACTTGATAGAACTATTGGCTCTTATGAGACATAGTGTTGCACCAGATCTAAATTAAAACATAATAAAGGTGAGGAAAACCTTGTTAAAAGTCTAGGGGTCACATTTTTTAACTGATATTCATTGAATTTTGTTAGAATGTTTATATTAATGATACATGTATCTTGGATAAGTTTGTAAATAGTTCATCTAGGTTACCAGATAAAATCAAGAAAAAAACATGTGTCTTTCAAACCCTGACCAAGTCTATTGTACCCTGGAAATGGAAAAGGGATGAAGATATTGTTATGGCATTGTCTGTCTGCCCATCCATTCATCCATCCATCCGAATGTCATTTCTGCACTATTTCTCTGGAGCTACTGACTAGATTTCAATGAAATTTTGTAGGAACATTAAATTAAAAAAACAGATCATGTATATCATTTGCATGTCTCGATAGGAGCATTTAACTTAAGAGTTATGGCCTCTGATTGATAAAGCAGTATGTAACAAGAGTAACATTTGTTTCAGCAACTTCTTACTAGATTTCTACAGACCTTTTCCAGAGCTAGAGCCATCAATACAAAATATTCGGTCAGACTACTCAGCACATAGTTATGGCCCCTAAATAGTTAAGCAGTAACTAACATTGTTAAAAATGATCTTGAGTAAGTTGTCTGATCTGGATAGGTAAACATTTCTGGCAAAGTGGTTACTGACAAAAATCATTACTGATGACATGTTGCTTACAAATCACAGGTTCTTGCTTCAAATAAGAAATATACAAATTCATCATTATTGTTTGACTTTACAATTTCTGGCAGTTGGCCAAAATTTTCATTGTATTAAATTTAAAAATGATTAACAGAGAACAGAAGGCGATTGAAAGGTATTATCAGCATGATAATGGCCAAAGGGGTCAGTTATCTCTTTTTGATTCATCTCTGATATGTATTTATTCTTTAATACATTTGTTGATTAAAAGTCTTCTCAATAAAGTGGATTTTTCTGTCATTTTAAGTTCTGTTTATAGAGAATCCCAATTAAATTCAAACTTATTTGCTTCTCTGTATTAGGACAATGTTTGTAGATATAAGTGGCAATTTTTTTTCTCTCAATATATTTTTTTGTCCCCTTCTTTTTCGGAGAAAAAAGGGGAATATAAAAATTGGCTCTGTCTATCTGTCTGTCTAAACTTACTGTTTTTCATCCATTGAGGCATAATATATAAATTGGCAGAAATGTTTACCATAATAAGAAGGCATGCCATGCAAATTACCCAGACCCCTACATCAAAGGTCACACTTTGAGATCAAGGCTTAATTTTGTATAGGGCCTGTTTTGTATCCAGTCCATAACTTTTCCATTCACTAAAGGATTTTGAAATAAAACGGTTTAAAACCGGTTTTCATCATTGATAGGCAGTGTGTCATGCACAGCATTCAGACTACTACCACCAAGTAAAGGTCTCATTTAAGAGGACAAAGCTTTACATGGTCAATATTTTTTCCTTGTCTGGAGAAAAACTCTGAAATTTTGAGAGAGATTCCAGTGAAAGTTAAAATATAAAAAGATAACATTAAAGGCCCATTATGCCTCAGAAATCAATATTTTTGAAAGATCTAACATGTGTATAATAATGTTTAAATGACGGATAAGGGCATGGTAGATTTTAAACAACTGAAAAAGTGATATGCATATCCTGCAGTAATGTGTTGTAAAGATAGCAAAATGTAAACAAAGTAGTATTTTGACTTCCATACAAAATACTAAATCACTATAATTATACCAATTACCAAAAAGTTACAGTGGCAAAATATAGTTCATCTACATGGCCAATGAGTAATTGTTTGGAAAATGTTTCAAAATACCAAAAATGAAAGATTTTAAGGAATAAAAATTACAGCATCTTGGGGCTTATAATGGGCCTTTAAGAGGAAGTGCACAGCAAAAGAACCAAAACTCCTTAAATTTTAAATTACTCCCCTTTCAGTTATAAAAACTGCTCATATGTATTTCTTTTGACACATAGGATAATTGGATCAAAAACCAACACAAATTAAGTATCAAAAAGTAACACATACACAGATGTTATTTCATTATATTTCTATGATGACACCCAATGCTGTGGGACATTTTGACTGTTGTTGTACTAGGTCTTATGTTCAACAGGCTGCGTATTAGCATGATTTTAAGGCCCAAATCTGCAAAATGTATAATTGATCATGTGACACCTATAACCATTTGAAAACATGGTGAAATATTTTACCATTGAATTGTGGTTTATAGAATTATAGATGAATGTATATGTAGCTTATTAAAATTCTTTGGTCTTCTTTTTTTTTCAGGTTTACAAAATGGATGGCATGGAAAGTTGGACATACTTATCATGGATAAAGATGAGTCTGGACAACCTGCATTAGGATTACCTGTATTTATTGTAGAGTCATTTGATGACGACGATGATGTTTCTGTGTCCTCGGCAAATTCATACGATAATCATAAGGATAATTCATGGGCTCAGAGTATCGCAGAAACTATAGTGTTTTCATTTTTACAACGTAAACAGAATTTCGGAAATTTACAGAATTATTTGATACCTGGCATAGGAATTAGTAGTGAAAAGATAGTTGTATTTATGTACGACTGTGAGAATGACGTTCTCCTAGCATCTGTAGGAATGGATCTGTTTGATAAAGGTGATGTTCACATGAGGACCATAATATTTCTCTGGTTAGTTTTGAATTACAAGTTGTTTTGCAGCGGAGTTATTGATGATTTTAAAAGTTACCGAGCAAATTTTCACCGATTGGTTGGTGATGAGAAACTTGAGCAATATAAAACTGAAGTATCTTTTCCATTCTGCATAAATTACACCAAAAATAAGCGTTTTGATCCAAATAAACTTTACACACCGAAAAATCTTAAAAGGAGCTTAGATTACCCAGAAGTCAAAAGTTTGAAATTATTCAAAAAGCAATGACTCTAGAAAAAGAGTATCACACATCCTAAAAGAAAATTGTTATCTTAAGTCTGTTTAGCACACCTTGTCAAATAAATTTATAGCTTATGCAAGCTTAAAATGGCTGTTTTTTTCCCAACTGTAATCCACAATAGCTAAGCAGCAGAGTGAGAAGGGGATGACTCAATAAGCCTCAGTTGTCAATCTGTTTATCTGTTTGTCCACATTTTCTTGTCTGCTGAAAAGTGAGAAAATAACTTGTCTAAGATAGTCGCTATGATGAGATAATGTGCAGAAAGCAACATCAAAGGTTTCTACCCCAAGTTCAAGGTCAGACTTAAAGATCAGATATAAAATGTCTACATCACATCCCGCTCCATGAAACTGCTGAAATTTTTTAAATAACTTCTCACAAAAGACAGCCATTTGATTCAATGTGTAAAGGGCAACATACCAATTGCTACTCCCTAGGTCAAGGTCACTTACATGTCATATTAAAATGTGCATAATTTATCTCAAAATAATTAAGTGACTTGTTGGAAAATTTGTACAGCCAGGCTACTACATTCAAGGTCAAGGTCAAATATATATAGAGGTAAAATGTTCTGACCCATAACATTTTGACTTGGACTGCTTAAAAGTTTTTAAAATAACTTGGCACAAATGATCACAATTATGACAAGGTGTGCAGAGCACAATCACCAGACAGCTACCACCAGTGTAAAGTTCACACTGAAAGGTCAAATGTTTAAAAGTTCAAATTTTGTGTCAGCTTTACTGACTTTTAGGAAGGTTAACAATTACTTGGCACAATTGATCACCCCCATGATACTGTCTTCAGAGCTCATCATTAAGGTTTCTACCCTGAGGTCAAGGGCATAATTATGTAGAGATCAAATGTTCTGTTCTTGAGACCAAACAGTAACAACCATGACACTATATGCTTACAAAATGCATGGCCTGTTTCATGCCTGAAGGTCAAGGTTGGTCAAAGGCCATTGTTGAAAGGGGTTATAGCTGTCATTTAGACTGTTGTTTTGATTGGATACCATTAATTTTTGGCCCTTAACTTTGTTATACATGAAGGGATCTACTGATCGTTTGACTTACTGATGATCAACAGTTGCAGTACATTATAACCCTTTTTCTCTGGAGAGCTTTTTTTGACAAATTTTCACAGAACTTTATTATCTCTATCACAGGAATAGCCTGTTACAATCATTCATTAAACTAAACATATACAGATCATGTATAATTAGTAGACCTGAGTTTGTGTACTAAGGTGACTTTATCCTTTTATGCATTACAAAGTTTTGCCTTCCAGGGAGAAAAACGGGTATAGTATTTTGCAAATGGTGATAATCAGTAAGTTTGTTGGTCAGAAGATCCTTTCATGGTTTACATTGTTGCTAGCTGCACGTTGAGCCTGTGTAAACTATGATTGTAAAAATGTTTGCTGACCAATGCACTATTCTAACACAACCCACATTTTCCCTATTAAGGTAATTGTTCCATGTCATCACTCACATCTGTCATCATGTATAACAATTTAGAGTAATAACTCTAGCATCTTTTTTCAATAGTAATCTTCAATTTGAACTAAAAAGTTTGGTTTACAAATGTTACTTTTTAGCTAAATTATTCAAAGAACAGGAAGGGCTATTGCCACCCAGGTGTTGGTATTGGCACCATACACTTTGGTTATGTTTTTGTGTACAAGTTGGTACATAAGTTTCTCCAAACATACTTTACACACTTACTTAAGCATAAAAGAGAAATGGTGGCTTAGTGGTTAAGATGTTTGTCTCCCAACCCAGGGATCATGGGTCCAAGCCCTAATCGAGTCACAGCCATGTTTCTTCATATGACACCCAGTACTGGTTGGCTCCAGGAAGCGGACTCGAAAGTGAGTTTCAGAAACAGAAAAAAAATGTAAATGACTGATACGGGTATTTTATTATCCCCCGCCGAAAATTTTCGGCGGAGGATATAGAAATAGTCTCCGTCCGTCCGTCCTTCCGTCCGTCCGACCTTCCATCCGTCCTTCCGTCCGACATTTTTGTCCGGAGAATATCTCTAAAAGTATTTGAGTTATCAACTTGAAACTTCATAGGTGGATAGACCTCATTGAGGAGGAGTGCAGTGCACAAGAATGATAACTCTACCTTGCATGATTTTTGAGTTATTGCCCTTTGTTATTTTTCAAAATTGATTTTTGTCCAGAGCATAACTCCAAAAGCCTATGAGATATTAACATGAAACTTCATAGGTGCATAGATCTCACTCAGGAGGTGTGCAGTGCACAAGAATGATAACTCTACCTTTCATAATTTTTGAGTTATTGCCCTTTGTTATTTTTCATACCTAATTTTTCACCTGAGTGGAGCATAACTCAAAAAGTGTTTGAGATATCAACATGAAATGTCATAGGTGGATAGATCTTATTGAGGAGGAATGTTGTGCGCAAGAATGATAACTCTTCCCTATACAATTTTTGAGTTATTGCCCTTTGTTTTTTTCATGCTATTTTGTCCAGAGCTTATCTCAAAAAGTATTTGAGGTATCAACTTGAAACTTCAAAGGTGGATGGATCTCATTGAGGAAGAGTGCAGTGCTTAAGAATGATAACTCTACCCTGCATTATTTTTGAGTTATTGCCCTTTGTTATTTTTCAAAATTAATTTTTGTCCAGAGCATAACTCAAAAAGCCTTTGAGATATCAAAATGAAACTTCATAGGTGCATAGATCTCACTCAGGAGGTGTGCACTGCACAAGAATGATAACTCTACCTTTTATAATTTTTGAGTTATTTCCCTTTGTTATTTTTCATACTTAATTTTTCAATTCAATTTTTTTCTCAAAAAGTATTTGAGGTATCAACTTGAAACTTCATAGGTGGATAGATTTTACTGAGGAGGAATGCAGCACACAAGAATGATAACCTACCCTGCATTATTTTTCAGTTATTGCCCTTTGTTATTTTCAGCCATCAGTATTCACATAGGTTTCAAATCTGTAATCACTATAGCCATCAGTTTTCATTACCAAAAGACCTCTTAAAATGGAATTATTCTGCTCTACTACATATACATTCTTCCAATGAGCAAACACATTCGGCGGGGGATGGCCATGTTGACATGGCTCTTGTTGCAAATTAGAACTTTGGGCAAACAAAAATCTGCATGTATCAAATTCAAATTATTGCTAGGCATTTTTCATATTTTTTTTTACAACACATGGGCATTGGTTTTATTTACTGGAACATATATTCCATTCTTGATTCTGCAAAAAGGCGAGGCTGTTTTACGGACATGCATTTAAAATACTCTGTACATGTCTTATCATTTCTAGAAAGGAATAAAAGATAAAACCTGATTTCTATAAATTCCAAAAAGAGTCTGTTATACTAAAAGTTTAGAAATTTCCCCAGCTGCAGGAAATATTCTATTGGTTACATAAAAGAATCTGGGGCATTTAATCAGCAACTTTTTGCTGGATTTCAACAAAATGATATGGCAACCACCAATACCAAGTTGCATAATAATGAAATTTAAAACTTTTTCTTCAGACACATTAACATTTGAAAAACCTTTTTCAACTGAAATAACATTTTGATTCCCTTTGCCATTAGTTTGATACTGCCCTGTCTCAATGTCACTCTTGTAATATTATTTATGTAGGAAGAAAACACGTCAAAACTATAGTGACAGATGTGTAAGTTTTCCCTGTATTTTCAATATTTTATAATCTGTAACATTCAGAACCAAAAAATTGTTTTTTCCTTATATGCACATTGTTTCCTTGTCTCAGGTGCTTTTTGGGGGAGCATGTGACATTTTCAACAATATCTTTGGAGTTTTTGTTATTATTTTTATTTATGTAATACCAATTGTTTGGTTTCAGATTAATTTAGGATACAGGAAATGCAATATTGGTGATAAAATTTTATATTTTGTAATTTTTTTCCGACATTTTATTCTGACGTAAATGATAATATATATAGTGATTTAAGTCTGTAAAGGTGTCAGACACCTGTGGCCAGCAGCACAGCATTAAGCCAATGACAATTTGTTTTTGTTTTTAATGCTGAAATCCTTCCTAGTTTAATAACCATTGGTTTACAAATTATCCAATGGTAACAAACTAAGTACTGGTTACATAAGCACGTTTTAGGGAGTTATCATAAAGACATAGAGGCAGAATTAAAACTGTTCAATAGAATTTCATCAATATTTGCACCTTGTTAGTATATGATCACAGAAATATCTAAAGCAAATAAAAAAAGATGTACTTATTCAAGGTCTTTTAAAAGGAAGATATTACTTACACATACCTCTACAAAATCTTGTTTTTACTTCTGGATAATGTTTTGCTTTTAATTGTTGATCACAGTTCTTGATAATATATGCAATTCCATAAATTATTTCTGTAACATTTTGAATACAGGGACTTAAATTAAAAAAAAATGGCAAAGGTTTAGAGAAGAAGGAAAATGCTGCTTTTTAACCAGGTTTTCAACTAAAATCAGTTATTGTAATGCTAAAGTCAGTAGACGGGTAGTGGGTAGGTGGGCGTCAACTTTTGGCCTATTGACACCAAACTTGGTATCTGGGTAGATTATATCAAGAGGCAGCATGGGATTGCTACCCAGGTGTCTGTGATCAAGGTCAAGGTCACTTGCTAAAATAGAAATTCATTTTCTGCTCAGTAACTTTTGCTTTGGCCTATTCACGCTAAACTTGGTGTATCGGTAGCTTATATGAGGCAGCTTTTGATTACTACCGAGGTGTCTTTAATCATGGTCAAGGTCACTGTTGCTAAAATTAGAAATTAAGTGTTTCCGCTTAATAACTTCAGTTTGCTTTGACCTATTGACACCAAACATAGTATGTGGGTAGCTTATATCAAGACACAACTTGGGATTGCTCCCCAGGTTTCTGTGAACAAAGTCAAGGTCACTGCGCTTAAAAAAAGGAAATGCAGTTTTCAGGTTATAACTTAAGTGCTTTGACCTAATGACACAAAACTTGTTGTGTGGTTAGTTTATATTAAGATGCAGCTAGGGATTACTACTTAGATATCTGGGAGCAAGGTCAAGGTCACATGCTTACAATA